ACACACACACACACACACACACTATTTTCATCCAGACATAGGAACAGAACAACTATAATAATAATGAAAGATAACGTTAAAAGCTTATGAAGGATAGCTCTAGGCCTGTAGGAACAGAAAATGTCTAAAATGTCTTTTGAAGCTATCAAGTGGTTTTATTTGTCTTAGTTTCATGGTTATTCTGTTCCACATAAATGGACCAAAATATGAGAAAGATCTCTCTCCATATGATTTGTATGATTTTACAGGTGTCACAAGTAGGGTGTTATCGTTTGATGATCTTAGGTTTTTTCCCTGGTTTATATATTCTGATAAGTTCTTGTAGATAAAACGGAGCAGTTTTATTTACACATTTGAAAGTGAAGTTGTTTTGGGGAGTTTATTAGACTTTCCACTCTTTTGTCTCCAATTCTATCGCAGATGGATGTTACTGTTGGAGTCGAAAATAACAGTACATGGCTGAAAGGGGCGTTAAGCCTCTATATAAATTAATACAGTGATCCAGACCCCGAGAAGCAGCCGAGTTGGATTTGCCTGTATATAATATACCTCTATATCAAGATTGGTTAGATGTTCTCTGCCTCTCTCTCAACCAATGTTGCCCCACGTCTATGGGTAAAAGCAAACGTAAAGTAAAGCCCCTCTCCTATTTTGAACTCTGGTTTTAATTTTTTAACCTCCTAAACATCCGGGTTCACAGGGGAGGTCACAGTGGGGTTACAGCAATGTTTTAATAAACAGGAAATACCAGCGAGCTAAAGTTTTGATCGCCGTGATGCGTGGGCGTGGAGACATGTTGAGATGCAAGGGGGCGGGGGTTATTTATACATGTAGGCCTACCTGTATTTTTACTTTCATCGCCAACAATGAAATTCCAGGTGTAAAGCGCAGACAGCCCGCTGTAGAGCGTGGATAGGCGCTAAATTGGAAGATGACTGATCGTGACCGTGCCAAGCTAGCTCTATCTTCTTTTCATACAACCAGCTTACGCCAAATCCTCAGAATCTTCTGGCCCGAAAAGATATCCAACGCAGATCTGTTACGTAAATGTAGGCAAGAGGACATGACTACCATAATAAAAAGGAGAAGGTGGAGATGGATTGGATATGTTCTGAGAAGAGAACCAGACTCTATTGTGAAGACTGCCCTCCACTGGACACCCGAAGGACGTCGCAAAAGGGGCAGCCCCAAAGTGACCTGGAGACGCACAGTAGAGTCTGGAATTAAGTCCTGGAATCACTCGTGGGGAACGCTGACCAAGATGGCCCAAAACAGACAGAGCTGGAGATCCTTTGTTGCTGCCCTAAACGCCAGATGGTGTAATGGGTAGTAAGTAAGTAAGTGGTCGCTTTTAAAGACTAGAGGGCTATCCTGAAAAATGCTGTTTTGAGAAAATCGAAGGTAAAGTTTTTGCTCCTTGTTCATTTTCTTTAAAAAAGACAAGGAGAGTTATCTCTATATCCAAACAAGTATACACACCAATGAAAGCAAACTTTTCCTATAAGTATAAGTAGGGCAATGCCCACTTTTGGTGTAGGTCAAGATTTCTGGAAACCCCCGAAATCTGGGTTAGCCCGCTTGTCTTTAAAAGCGACCTTAAAACACTTATTATTATTATTAATCACGTATCGCCCACCGGTATGTCATTTCGTTATGGTCCATGTAAAGCCATTTATAACGCAGTACTGTAGTGAAAATGTATTATATTGTAGAGTTGGGATAAAGCTATTTAACTGGTGGGACCTCCTCCATTAACATCAGTCCCGTAATACTAATACATACACACTACAGAAAGTGTCGCCAAATCGATAATAACAATTTGAAATGGTTTGTTACATTTGACTTGAGGGCGGCCAGAATTTATTTCATGCAGGTTCAAAAGCTACCATTTTGGCTAAATTTGGTCAAATCCCCTCATCCCCACTCAAATTCAAACTTGTATCACTTTCTAGGACATGATTTGGTAAATGAAAACAGCCAATTACAAAGCTTGTACACGTCACATGACATTGCTAGGTCAGGTGTTTTGTTTGGGCTTAAATGCGACTGGCCTTTATGACAAAACTAAGATAGTGACCCTTATTGAACATCCTCAAATCAACCTACGGTAGCCACCACCCTTCCCTCCCCATATCTCTTCTCTCTATCTCTTCTCTCTCTCCCCCCTCTCTCTAACTCACATACACACACACACACACACACA